CAACCATGGATACGCAGCGGATTGATGTCCTGTTGCGGGTGCTCCTGCCACGGCCGGACGTGTGTCTGTGCGTCGAACTCTTGGGACCTTGTCCCTGTTGCCAGTGAATAACGGGGCGAGGCCTGATGATGTGCCAGCGTCCTTCCCCCACCCACCGCCATCGACGAAAGCACGAGTGCCTTGCTTGTCGAACGGCACAGGTTCCCCGACACCTGAAACTGGCACGGTGCCTTGCGCATCAGGCTGCGTTGCCACATATGGTCTGCCATCAACGGATGCGGGAATCGTCTGATGAAGCGGACGAGGGGGGAGGGGAGCAAGTGGTGCACATGGAGATGGCGCCACTTGCGAGGGGGCAGCGGTCGACGGGGGCGGCGGAACGACGTCATCGGGAAAACGAAGAGGTGGCCATTGAAAAGAGGGATGACCTAGAGGGAGACTCTGCAAGGCCTGCATGGCAGAARCCAAATGTGCAGGACACTTGGACATATCCTTTGACCAAATCGCGTGCCACACCGCCGGAGTGGCTACTTGGCATCTATACCCCTCGCCACGAAAAAAGTGTTCCTTCGCCTCACGAGCACCCCCACATAGAGAACGACCGCATAACCTGCACAAACAACGRCGAYCGTTCTTCCTCCCGATCGCAGTGGATCCATCTAAATAACGACCACGAGCAACGAAATGCCAAACAGGATCATCTCGTTTTCCATCCGCCTTTGGATCCACCTTAAAAGGGGAGTCAAAGGTCTTCGTCTTGTGACCTTTTCTACTACCCTGCGCCCTTTTCCCCGTTGCCGAGGAGGACTCCGCGGGGCCCTTCTCGTTATTGCCTCGAGGGTCAGACATGTTGTAGGGACCGAATGAAATCCGCAGAAGGGGTGAACTGAAACGAACTTCGACGCCAACGACAAAGAACTGCACCGAAGTTACTGAACAACCGACGAATCAACCTGTAAAAGATGGACAGTGACAGGARCGAACACAAGTTCCACAACAACCATAGCGACAAACAAGAGAAGGAACAAACATAAAGACCCCTAGAGACAAAAAAAAAAAAACCACCCCTAGAAAGAAAAAAAATAATAAACAAATCAACACACATTCCACGGCATCCCGTCTTTGTCACACCCCCTAGACCCCCCATGCATTGCCGCTCATGGCGGTCCCCCCCAAGAACAAGAGAAGGAACAAACACAAAGGTAGAAATAAAGATACAAAGAAAAAAAAAAACCCCACACACATTAATGGCATCCCATCTTTGCCGCTCATGGCGGTCCTACCCAAGAATAAGAGAAGGAACAAACACAAAGGTAGAAATAAAGATAGAAAGAAAAAGAAAAAAAAACACACACACATTCCACAGCATCCCGTCTTTGCCGCACCCCCTAGAGTCCTAGACTCCCCATGCATAGCCGCTCATGGCGGTCCACCCCTAGAACGAGACAAGGAACAAACATAAAGGTAGAAATAAAGATAGACAAGAAACAGCATCCTGTCTTTGCCGCAACCCCCTGGAGTCCTAGACCCCCCCATGCATTGCCACTCATGGCGGTCCACCCATCATTAAGGAAGAAATAAAGATAGAAAAAAAAAAAAAAAAAACAGACATTCCACGGCATCCCGTCTTTGCCGCACCCATACAACCGTTTCCCCTAGACCCGCATGCATTGCCGCTCATGGCGGTTCACCCATCATTAAAAAAGAAAGAAGAAGAACAAAAAAAAAAAAACCACATTGCACAGCATCCCGTCTTTGCCGCGCGGCAGCGCACCCATATAAGTTGATACAACGTTTCCCCCTAGACCCCCCAATGGCCCCATGCATTGCCGACAATTTGCCGCTCGCGGCGGTTCACCCGTCATCATTAAGAAAGAAA